TTGGTATTCTATTTTTATTGCTATTAATCCACGAGCGGGAGAGGGGTGGGGGGGTGGGGGGGGGTGGGAGAGATGAGGGGGTCATGTCTGGGGTGAAAGGGAGGAATGGGGTAATGGGTAGGAGGGGGACTGGGTAATACAGGTGGGAAGGTGGGGAGGGGGGGGGGGTAATAGAATACAAGTGGCGGTAATAGGAAATATTTTATTTATAATTTATAATTGGTTACTCTTGCTGGACAAAACTGACGTTTGTTATGTAATAGTGCTCGATGTTCGCGTCTTCTGCTGCCTCTTAGAATGTATGTAAGGGTGGAATCAGAGTACATCAGGATGGGCTCCTTGGAGGGTTGTTTGCTTATAGACTACTGGTGTGGGTAGTGACGTACAGGCCATTCAGTGAGAACTAACGCCGGAAATTATCGTATAACGAACATCATCGTATAACCCATGCATGAGGCTCCACAGTGTGACTAACCCATGCATGAGACTCCACGGTGAGACTAACCCATGCATGAGGCTCCACGGTGTGATTAACCCATGCCTGAGGCTCCACAGTGTGACTAACCCATGCATGAGGCTCCATGGTGAGACTAACCCATGCATGAGGCTCCACGGTGTGATTAACCCATGCATAAGGTCCCTGGAAATTATGATACCCAGATAATTACTTCTATTTGATTTCGCTATTTCACTATTATTTAAGTATCTTGTATGTCTTGTGCTCCTACGATTAGAGCCCTGCATTAAACAGTATAAGCATGGTTTTCAACAAAATTTGCGTCGCTTATTGCGTCTATTGTCCTGTCCTATTTTTGTTAATACCCGGACATTTATTCATGTTTTTCACTCCTGTATTATATCACTCATGTATATTTCCAATTGTGATATATCTACACTTATTCTGACTCTCTGTTTGATATGCTACAACCATAGCTGTGGTCCAATATAATGGTTCCTTTAAACCATAATGGATCAAATTAATACCATGTGATACTAACTTCCTTCACAATATAATACTTGTTATGAAAGACCTTAGAACTAGATTTTCTATATATAAAATCGTAATTTTGTTTATATATACAGATTCGTATATGTATCAAAGGACGTTTAGTAAAACATGTGGGTAATTTTAATTTATATTTTTGTCACTGTGAGTACAATTGGCATGAGTGATTATCGCTTCAGTAAACTTTTACATATTTTTCGCTAATATGATTTGACTATATTCAGTCGACAGGGATATCTCACTATAAATTTGGGACCACATTTTCAATTTTGGAACATTGCCCAACTCCAATGATTTACGGAATATGTTCGACAGGGGTTAATTAATCTCTTCCTTACATTGTGAATTCATCGATTTAGGCCTGAGAACATTTTTTTTAAATAAATCTAGTAACTTCTTTCCAAAGGAATAATAACGTATTGATCTCCAATCACTTTGTACACACACTTATTCTACTAGGAACAATAAACGTTCTAGTAGAGAGCAGGATTGAAACAATCATTCATTATTTTACCTCTTTGCTTGTCTTAGAGATCAGAACAAGTTTGTACATTTCATTTCTTCTATTTTCTTCCTAGTTTGATGAAGGAATTTCCTTTCAATAATTAACTTTTTAAGATCCCTTTTAATCTTTAAGAAGAGCTTCTCATCTTATGGTCATCAATTTTGGGCCATTATTATTCATTCTTGCATATTAACATGCAGTATTTGTAGATTGTGATAATGTGAATGTCTACGTGATATGTTGTTATTGCAAGCTTCTTATGTTGCAAATGTGCTGTACTCTCTGTGTGAACCTTCCAAATTGTAAATATAATACCATTAATGTATTAAGTCTTTGAGTGATTGATTAAAACAATTAGTCAAACACCCCACCGAGCCTTCATCCTTGCAGTCCCCACTATCTCCCATCCCCCCTCACCAATCACACTACTACCTCCATAAATATCTCTCCTATCACTAACCCAGTCCTCAACCACTTGATTCACACTCTCACAATTGCCAGTATCACTTTCCCTTCCCCCCGTACCTTATCCATATTTGACAAGTTCCTCCACCATCTGTAGAAACCCCTATTCTGACTACAGTTTTCGCCCACACACGACCCCTATTCTGATCCCAATCTCACCCACATCCGACCCCCATTCTGACCCCAATCTCACCCACACACGACCCCATTTTCTCCCCAATCCCAGCCATATCACCACTTCCCTGGCAATCTCCAGTGATGTAGTTGAAAGGGCTTCTCGGAGCCTGACTGTCAGATGGTTTTTTCGATTTCTTATTATTTATGCGGATGATTCTGTGCATAATATTAAACTTTTAATGTATAGATTTGTAAATCAGTGGTTCATTAGTGGTTGGAGAATGTAAATCAGTGGCTCCTAAGTAGCTGTATGTTGTAAATTATTGGTTGTGAGTGGTTTGAGAAATGAATCTGTGGAACATGTGTGGTTGGAAGATGTCAATCAGGGGTTCATGAATTCTGTTACATTCATGTAACATGTCTTGAGGAAGTATATTAAGGTTCAAATTAAATTTTCTTCACAAAGTAAAATAAAAGTGGTATAAAGAATTATAAATGAACTCAAACACAAACAGACCATTAGATCCAAACTGAGTTATTAATTTATTGAAATCCTTTGTCTTAATAATGCAAGATGCGGGGCGGAAAATAAGTATTTTAATTTATTTGTAATTAAATACACGGGTTTACTCAGATTTACATCACTTGGTTGGTTGTATATCAAATATAACCACTTGTGGTTATTAATTTTAAATAATTATTAATTAAAAGTTTTACATAGAAGTACAGTATATTAATTACATAAGAGTATCTCAACAACATAACACGTAATCGTACCAGAAGTTTCAGATATTTACATAGCTTATTCCTCGTGTTAATTTCTCGGGTAAAAAATAGAAGATTCGTTGAATTGAAACGTTTGGGCAATGATTAGATTAATATCTGAATATATTGTACCACTTACATTGTTATTATCTTAGAGGAATCTATTTCAGTAAGTCAATTTTGCTTCACTCATAATTTTTTTTATTGTATTGCCTCATAGTTCATCCTCGTGTATAGCTGCCCTTATTACGGATACTATCTACGGAAAACCTCATCGCTCCCATCAGTACAAGTTCCCATCAGCAATAATTTACTTAGCGGTTCCCATTACTGCTCCCATCAGCAATAAACGACGATTGTTAGGGTTATAAAAGGTCAAAACTTGGATTGTTCACTCGCTACGGGCCTTTGAATTTGATTTTCCTCATGTTCATCTTACTATGAGTGTGACTGTATACTTAAAGTGATCTGTGAAGTGACAGTCTCACTTTGACTTAGATCTGGCGTTTGTTACTTGAGGGTCAAAGTGGATGGGCTTCGTTCTTGCCCTTCATCCTCATATGAACCACTTGGGCTAGACAGTAGAGCGACGGTTTCGCTTCATGTAGGTCAGCGTTCAATCCCCGACCGTCCAAGTGGTTGGGCACCATTCATTACCCCAGACCCATTCTTATTCTTTATATCCTGATCCCTCTCAAGTGCTGTATAGCAGATTTGGCTTGGCGTTTTCTCCAGATATTTACCTTATCTTACCTTCATCCTCATATACGAGCTCTTTGCTCTCATCATCCACAAGCAGGTGATGAGTTACAACAACGTGACACATGACATGATGGCCAAACCAAATCTCAGAAATTGGAGAAACAACAACGTCATCATGAACCAAAAATTTTTCTCCAGTTCCATCTTGGGGTCCTCATTTCCTCGAACCTTGCCCTCATTACCCATCTCATGTCCTCATATACCGGAACTTTGCCTTTATATCCCACCTTCCTGTCGTTATAAATCTACCATGTGCGATATAGTCACTATGGCTTATGTCTTCCTCCTGGTAAGACTCTAATGTCACCGAGGGAGAATATTAGATCGAGTCTGGCAGGTTGATTACTTTTTTCTCATCTATGAGGGGACGGGTATAGGTTGACTTAAGAAATTTCTTATTGATACTTTAAATATCTTAATGGATCATATCTGTACCCTCGTGAGGAACTCAATTTTGCCAGATTATCGTATTCTGTCTGATTATCAACTAATAGATTTTAAGATAATTGCCACTTGCAGGGGATGCAGTTAAACTATATTGGCAATATCTGGCAATATTGCTGTTATTTCTGACTTGATAATCAGGGCCTGTTGTCATTTTGTAGTGTGTGTGTGTGTGTGTGTGTGTGTGTGTGTGTGTGTGTGTGTGTGTGTGTGTGTGTGTGTGTGTGTGTGTGTGTGTGTGTGTGTGTGTGTGTGTGTGTGTATATGAGCAGACGCAGGTCTTAGTTTCTGTATGTTTTTGTCAGTCCGCATGTATGTAGATATGTATACATTTATGCGTGTGCGTGTACACAGACTATGACTGCGAGCAATAAGCGACGATTAATAACAAAATGTTCACGGAAATTGAGTCATTTGTTCCTCTGGACCAAAAACAAACCAATGTAATTTTGACAGTCCTCATATCTTCTCCACCGTCCTCTTTACCCTTTCCTTTACCTCTCCCTCTCTCTCCATGTGCATCCCCTTCCCGCTCTTTCCCCTCCTTCCCTTCCCATCTGACTCGGCTGCTACCCTTGTTACCTTGAGCGTGTCACTGTAATACAATTATCTACTATAACATAATCTTCCTCGCTCTACCACCTAGGAAACTGCTTTACCATCTGTAAATTTTTCCTGACATCTTAATTTTCGGTCTACAACCTAATCCTCCCAATCTGTAAATTAATTATCCCAATTTTTAACTTAATTCGCCTCCCATTTACAGTTTCCTAAATCTACTGTACCCGAATTATCCCAATTTATCCTAATTACCTTAATATGTCGACTAATTTATCCTCCCCAGCCTCGAAAAAACCCAAGTCCCAATGCAGCTAAACCCACACACTATTTCCTCATGTGTTTATCTAAAGTTCTTTCACCTCTTGGCCGTGACAGGAAGCTGACATCGCTATCGCGCCCCTAACCATCACCTCATCCCGGGAGCGAGTCATTGACTTCACCAAGCCCTTCATGACTCTAGGGATCTCCATCATGATCAAGAAACCCGTCAAGGAGAAGCCGGGCGTCTTCAGCTTCATGTCTCCATTGTCACAGGAAATCTGGACATGCGTAGTCTTCGCCTACGTCGGAGTCTCCATCGTTCTGTTCCTCGTCAGCAGGTTCAGCCCCTACGAGTGGAAGGTACTGTAACCCAGGATTCGTGGGGTTGGGGCATTGAAATGTTATGACTCTTACGGATGGAAGGATTCTTGGGGTTTTTGAGGAGGTTTAATTTGATAATGGGAGTCAGGCTCTTTTTGGTTTATGTTTGTGTTCTGTGATTTCTATTACGGAAGGTAATCTGTTTGTTGCTTGTGGTGGAAGACTTGAATGACGAAAACATACATCAATTTCGTCCTTATTTGTAATTTGGAGTGGAAAAAGTGATAATGTATTTTAAGTGGTGAAATAACAAAAGAATGCATATGTCATTATCAAAGCAATATATCGAGTAGACGTTAGTAGATGAAACCGTTTTCAGTTAGAATAGATATAACTCCCTCTCCTGGCTATGAGTGTGTGGATATCGCTGTCTCTCCTGGCCATGAGTGTGTGGATATCACTCACTCTAAACATGGATATCACTCTCCTAAACATGAGTGTGTGTGGGTATAGCCCCATCCCTCCCCCCTGGCCATGAGTATGTGCAGGTATCACTCCCTCTAATGTCCATAAGGGCGTGTGAAGAGTGTTGTTGTGCACAGCAAGGAATCAACACCGGTCTGGACTTAGGTGTTTGCGAGTGCATCGTGTATAGTTAATCTCCACAACTCTACCCACTTTACTGCGTTGACCAGTACAAGAGTTTACCTCATACTTGGCCTTAGAGAACTAGATCAACATTCTCTTGTTATACAACAATTGATCACCGCATTCCTAACAAAGCATATATATATATAGGGCAAAGTACACACTCCTGTTAAATAATGTAATTCATGAACTGGGTCAATATGGATTTAATACCTGTATACATACTATCTAACTATCGAGTTCCGGAATGTTATGATTCTTTTAGTGGACGCTTCTCATTTTTGTACGACATGGGCTTTGAAATTTCAAAGCAATGTGACACTGATCTATTACAGTATTGTCCAGGACCGATATCAAGGAAGTCGCAAATCATTTTGATGTGAGAAAATTAATAGTGATTTTTGGTGAATTATTTGGAGTGTTGTGGCCTTGAACAAATGTGTTGGTGGAGGAAGTAGTGGGGTGTAGTTGGTCTGTGTGTGTGTACTTATTATTTGTGCCTACAGAATCGAGCTATTAGATCTTGGGCTCCGGCTTTCTAACCAATCGATTTCCTTCTATTATGTCTACTACGTGTATTTCTCTCTAACACACGCACACACATCTTCAGGAAGCAGTCCGTAGCAGCTGTCTAACTCCCAGGTACCTATTTACTGCTCGGTGAACAGAAGCATCAGCGTTAATGGAACTGCCTAATTTTTTTGCTTCGGCCAGGAATCAAACCACGGCCTTTGGACTATAACTTCCAAATGCTGTTCACTCAGCCGCGACGACCCGCAGTGTGTGTGTGAATTCACCTAGATGTATTCACCTAGTTGTGCTTGCGGGGGTTGAGCTCTGTTCTTTCGGCCCGCCTCTCAACTATCAATCAATCAAATGTTACGACAGTTTTTTTTTTTTTTTTTTTTTCACACACACACACACACACACACACACACACACACACACACACACACACACACACACACACACACACACACACACACACACACACACACACACACACACACACACACACACACACACACACACACACACACACACACACACACACACACACACACAGGAATTGATTGGAATCGATGGGAATTGACAGATGGACAAAGAAAAACTCTGGTGGGATATATATATATATATATATATATATATATATATATATATATATATATATATATATATATATATATATATATGTCGTACCTAGTAGCCAGAACGCACTTCTCTGCCTACAATGCAAGGCGCGATTTGCATAATAAGCCAAGTTTTCATGAATTAATTATTTTTCGACTACCTAACCAACCTAACCTAACCTAACTTTTTCGGCTACCTAACCTAACCTAACCCATAAAGATAGGTTAGGTTAGGTTAGGTAGGGTTGGTTAGGTTTGGTCATATATCTACGTTAATTTTAACTCCAATAAAAAAATTGACCTCATACGTAATGAAATGGGTAGGTTTATCCTTTCATAAGAAAAAAATTAGAGAAAATATATTAATTCAGGAAAACTTGGCTTATTAGGCAAATCGGGCCTTGCATAGTAGGCCGAGAAGTGCGTTCTGGCTACTAGGTACGACATATATATATATATATATATATATATATATATATATATATATATATATATATATATATATATATATATATATGTCGTACCTAGTAGCCAGAACTCACTTCTCAGCCTACTATTCAAGGCCCGATTTGCCTAATAAGCCAAGTTTTCCTGAATTAATATATTTACTATAATTTTTTTCTTATGAAATGATAAAGCTACCCTTTTCATTATGTATGAGGTCAATTTTTTTTTATTGGAGTTAAAATTAACGTAGATATATGACCGAACCTAACCAACCCTACCTAACCTAACCTAACCTATATATATATAGGTAAGGTTAGGTTAGGTAGCCAAAAAAGCTAGGTTAGGTTAGGTTAGGTAGGTTAGGTCGACGAAAAAACATTAATTCATGAAAACTTGGCTTATTAGGCAAATCGGGCCTTGCATAGTAGGCTGAGAAGTGAGTTCTGGCTACTAGGTACGACATATATATATATATATATATATATATATATATATATATATATATATATATATATATATATATACATATATATATATATATATATGCCTGTAATTTTATTAGTTACCTGTAATTCATCACTGTGTGTGAACCTTCATAGTAACCAATGACAAACAAAATATTTGACCCACTAGCTACGCTATGACCCATTAAACTATTTGTGGTGTCGTCTCGCAGGTGATCGAGACATACAGCAAATCTAGCGTGACTAACGACTTCACCATATGCAACAGCCTGTGGTTCACGCTCGGAGCCTTCATGCAACAAGGAATTGACCTAAGCCCCAGGTGAGGCTAACCTTACAATTCAGTGTGACTCCTCCTTCTACTCAAGCTAAGACAGACACTCTATCTTTACTTTTCTCCTGGTCTCTCTCTCTCTCTCTCTCTCTCCCTTCATCACCCAATACCTATGCCTGACCATCTTTCTCCTCTCTCCCATTCCCCGTGACACAGGTCACTCTCAGGACGTATAGTGGGCAGTGCTTGGTGGTTCTTCACGTTGATCATCATATCCTCCTACACCGCCAACCTGGCTGCCTTCCTCACCGTCGAGAGAATGGTCACTCCAATCAAATCCGTCGACGACCTGGCCAAACAGACGGAGGTGGAGTACGGGACACGGGATGGTGGTTCCTCCAAAGAGTTTTTCGAGGTAAAGATCGCCCGTTGGGAGCGTGTGTGTGTGTGTGTGTGTGTGTGTGTGTGTGTGTGTGTGTGTGTGTGTGTGTGTGTGTGTGTGTGTGTGTGTGTGTGTGTGTGTGTGTGTGTGTGTGTGTGTGTGTGTGTGTGTGTGTGTGTGTGTGTGTGTGTTGTACTATGGTACTCAAGCCTCGAACAGAGAGCCAATCTCTTCAATTGATATTTATATTTAGCAACGCTGATCCCTGAACTGAAAAAAATCCCTGAAAAATCCCTGAAAGTGCCACATTCTAACAAGCATTGACATAACGATCAGGAAAGAAATGTTCAAAATGGGTAATATTGGAACGAGAGATCGGTTTATTTTTTAACGCGTTTAAATTTTAAATATCTTGAAATGATTAAGATGGGATTTGTTGATTAGAAATCTTTGCACAGATGCAACACCAATTATTGAAGAATACATTCAGAAATGCATTCAGAACCACAAACACGTCCACGCGTACACACATACAGGCACACATATACACGAACACACACATTCAGGGTAGACAAGGGTAGACATGGATGTACTATTTAACACGGGTGGTACACGCAAAAGGAAACACAGGTGAAAGCTGAGTACCCAAATGAGCCACAGAGACATTAGAAAGACTTTTTCATTTTTCAACTCAGAGTAGCTAGAAAATGGAATACACTAGGTAATGATGTGGTGAAGGCTGACTCCATACACAGCTTCAAATGTAGATATGATAAAGCTTGAGAGGCTCAGGAACCTGTACACCAGTAAATTGAAGGTTGAGAGGTGGGACCAAAAAGCCAGAGCTCAACCCCCGCCAGCACAACTAGGTAAGTACAACTAGATAAGTACACAGGGTGAGAAGAGAGACAGAAAGATAATATGAAAATGACATAGCAAGCAAGGCAAAGACTCCACCTAAGTTGCTACCCAGCCATATCAGGAGAAAAAAACAGTAAAGGAACAGGTAATGAAACTCAAGGTAGGAATTGCCAAATTCATTACAAACGATAAGAAACTGAGGGAGGAATTCAATAAGAAATTCCAGGAGGTCTTCACATTAGAGCAAGGGGAATTCCCAGAGATAAAAGAAGAAATAACTAATCAAACACCACTAGATGAGTTTGTGATTACGAGTGGAAAGGTGAGGAAGCATCTGTTTGAGTTATATGTGACAAAGACTATTGGCCCGGATGGAATCTCACCATGGATAATAAGGGAAGGAGGAGAAGCTCTCTGCCTGCACCTCTCCATGGTGTATAACAAAACACTGGTAAAAGGTGAACTGCCAAAAATTTGGAAGACGGCTAATGTAGTCCTGATATTCAAGAAAGGTGACAGACAGGAGGCACTGAACTACAGGCCAGTGTCCCAAACTTTTATTCCATGCAAGAAGATGGAAACGATTGCGCTAAAAAAGCTAGAGGAACATCTGGAGAGAAAGAACTTTGTAACACAACATCAGTATGGTTTCGGGGATGGAAAATCATGTCCCACAGGATTAATTTAATTCTATGACCAGGCAACAAAAATCAGTCAACAGAGTGAGAGAGAGAGAGTGAGAGCTGGGCAGACGGAATATTTTTTAATTATCTGAAAGCCTTTGATACAGTACCACATAAGAGACGTGCAAAAGCTGGAGATTCAAGCGGAAGTGAAAGGGAAGGTACTCCACTGGATAAGGGAGTACCTAAGTAACACAACACAGCGAGTCACTGTGAAGGGTGAGGTCTCGGAGTGGTGATGCGTCTCCAGTGGAGTTCCACAGGGTTCACTCCTTGGACCTATACTGTTCCTGATATATGTAAATGATCTTCTGGAGGGAATAGACTTGTTCCTCTCAATGTTTGCTGATGATGCAAAAATTATGAGGAGGATTAAGAGAGAGGAATATAGTATGATGCTACAAGATGACCTAGACCAACTGTAGGAATGGCCGAACAAATAGCTACTAAAGTTCAATCCGAGTAAATGTAAGGCAATGAAACTAGGCGGTGGAACCACGAGGCCAGGCATAGGATACCGAATGGGAGATGAAGTCCCTCACGAAACAGACAGAGAAAAAGTTATAGGAGTTGATATCACACCAAACATGTCTCCCGAAGCCCACATCAAAGGAATAATATCGGCGGTGTATGCGATGATAGCTAACTTCAGAACTGCCTTCAGAAACCTGTGAAAGCAATCATTCAGAACCTTCAATACCACGTATGTAAGGCCAATCCTGGAGTATGCGGCCCCAGCATGGAGACTGTACTTTGTCAAGCACAAAATGAAGCTGGAAAAAGTTAAGATGTATGTCACAAGGCTAGTCCGAGTCTTGACTAGGACAGGGTAGTTTGACGTTGACAGGGTGGACAAGGATGGATATTTAACACTGTTGGTACACGCACATGGGGACACAGGTGGAATCTGAGTTCCCAAATGAGCCATAAAGACATTATAAAGAATTTTTTCAGTGCCAGAATAGTTAGTAAATGGAATGCACTAGGAAGTAATGTGGTGGAGGCTGACACCATACATAGTTTCAAATGTAGATATGATGGAGCTCGAGAAGCTCAGGAATCTGTACACTAGCAGATTGACTGTTGAGAGGCGGGACCAAAGAGCCAAAGCTCAACCCCCGGAACACAAAACTAGGTGAGTACACACACACAAAGTACACAGTACTGTATGTGTGCGGAGGAGGTAGAAGTGTGTACTGAGAGGGAGACGATTGCAAGAGGAAAAAGAAGCAAGCACGCACAAACGCACAGAAAGCTCAATAAATATTCCCTGAATATCATAACCCATGTCTTGCAGGAGACAATGCATTAAAATCCATTTATCATGGCTGGAAGGGCCGGACCTTTATTCAATCTCCGGCCGACAGTATTGCTATTAAAAAGGAAAAAAAAGGTCGTTTCTCCCTCCTCTATTGTTTGATCGGAACAATAGGTGTGGCAGGAGAGAAAGAGAGAGAGAGAGAGAGAGAGAGAGAGAGAGAGAGAGAGAGAGAGAGAGAGAGAGAGAGAGAGAGAGAGAGAGAGAGAGAGAGAGAGAGAGAGAGAGAGCTCATCACGTATAATTAATGGTTAAGTTTGTATTAAACTTGAATCATTCCTATAGTTCCTTCATTCCCTGTGTCTTCAAATGTATTTAGGAAACCATTTATTATTCTGTTTTCATCACATATCATCCTTCTCCTCCCCCTCCTTGGTTCTCTTCAGTGATTTCCGGTTCCTCACCATGCAGTTTCCATTCTCATTCCGTTTAACTTTCGTTTGTCCCATATCTCATCCGGTTCATCCATGCATCTTTCTGTTTCTTGTAACTTCCTGCTTTCTCTAATGTGCAACTTCTCAAGATTTGTCGTCACACTGAGATGAATGCTAAGGGTAAGGATTTGTCATTTGTCATTTTCTCTTATTCATCCTGTTTTCTCACCTTCATTCATGACACCCATCAATAATAATGTCATCCACCAACACATGTGTCCATCACCTTCACCTATGTCGCCCACCAACACGTATATTTGATACCCATGACCCCCCCCCCCCAACGTCCATGTGACCCATCAACATCCATGTCATCCACCAACACCCATGTCACCCATCAACTTCTAAGTCACCGACTAACACCAATGTCACCTACCAACATTCATGTCACCCACCAACATCCATGTCACCCACCAACATCCATGTCACCCACCAACATCCATGTCACCCACCATCATCTTTATTAGTTTATCAAAGAAGGATGTAACTTCACTGTTGCCTCCCCCCCCCCTCCCTTTACGTCAATTATGCCTTTGACGCACATGTTTCTTTTTATCAGTCACCGACCTCCCTCCTACTCCCCTCTGTCTGTCTGTTTCTCTCTCTCTCCCTTTCTCTCCCTCATTAACCATTGCCTTCCAATTCTCGGTCAAAGCGGTCAAAGATCAGCGTCTACAACCGCATGTGGGAGTTCATGTCGTCCAGGAAGTATGTGTTCACCTCCACGTACGAGGAGGGCATCGAAAGGGTACGGACGTCGAAGGGCAAGTACGCCTTCCTACTGGAGAGCGTCAAGAACGACTACATCAACGAGCAGTTGCCTTGCGATACTATGAAGATCGGCCAGAATCTCAATTCCAATGGCTATGGAGTCGCGACACCAATGGGTTCCCCTCTTAAGTAAGTAGACAATCTCGGAGTTTTCTTTACCCCTATTTCCCTAAAATTATCTTGTTTCCTCTACTTCCTTCCACTTTCCCTCCCTTCAATTGCCCGTCTTGTTCCATTTATGGTGTCTCATGTCATGGTTGCAGCATTCAAGTGTTTTCCGTATTTTTGTACAACTAAACATACTTGGAATAAAGTCATATATCACCCAAATCTCATAGGTTTGTTCCCTAAAAAACATGGATTCTTTTCTCATAATGTTGTATTCCCTTATTAAAGTGGCTGCAGTTCCACCTCAAGAAGGTTTTCTGACTGGAGTTCTCCCTTCAGGTGTGTCCAAATCTTTAATTCCTTGAACTTAAAATAGTTCTCCTTCTTGGACTCCACTTTAAGTATCCCCTGTCGAATACTACCAGTCCCTGCAATTTATTTTTAGTTTTGAAAATAGTATATCACGAACGTTAATTAGACTCACGTGCAAGTGTCAGATTGATAACTTTGCTTATAATAACGTTTAGATGAAATTAATTTTCTTCTAATATTGAAGGGAAATTCATGGATTAGGTTATACAAGACTTAGCTACGATGCTTAAAACCCAATAATACTATTGTTTTCAGAGTAAATAAATGATTTAGGAGAATGAGAGCTTAGATAACGTTACTAAACTATTATTTTTTTCTTAACATATGTTAGAGTTTGATATATTTGGGGCAGGCAAACAAGTGGCCAATTATTTTTTGGGGAAAGCTATTTAGATAAGTTGCGAAACTTTTGCATGTACAAGTCATTAAGCTGTTTGAGGATCTTCACAATCACATTCCAAGTCATTCCTAGTTTCTGGGGATTTCTCCACCGCGTGTCAGGTCATAAAGTCGGTATTTGAAACCTATTTTGAAATGATAATGGACCTTCCCATGATATATTTTTAACTAAAGCCAAATATAAGGTCAGCCTTTCTTTCGCTCTCTCTCAATCTCTCTCTCTCTCTCTCTCTCTCTCTCTCTCTCTCTCTCTCTCTCTCTCTCTCTCTCTCTCTCTCTCTCTCTCTCTCTCTCTCTCTCTCTCTCTCTCTCTCTCTCTCTCTCATTCTCTCTCTCATTCTCTCTCAATTACTAGTTATTTAGCCTTACTAATTCATAATGTAATGGAGAGGGCATTCTATTAAAATATTACTGCAGTGATGGGCTATAATTACTTAATACTCAAAGTAATCATCAAGAAAGTGAAACACTGAAAGAGAATTTATTTATAAATAATATTTTTGTATACTTGGGGAGCAGGCGTTCTTTTAAACATATTTGGTCAAATATGAGCGCATTGCTGGCATCGTTTATATTATATTGTAACGTTTCTATGCTTCTGGCTATTTTCTATCTGTATTATGAAGAACAATCTAGGGTAATTGTAATGGAACTCTAGTCATCATTGAAGGATTTATTTCCTACGCCGTATCTAACTTCTCTTGAAAAAACATTAGGTAAAGAATGGATATGGTAAAGAATGTATGGGATTTTGCGAATTTGGATTTGACTTATACATTTTTTGTGATTTCCATTTACAAAGTAAGTGCTAGAATTTTTTCTTCTTCTTTCGCTCTAAAAACAAAACAAAAATATATGTACATAATAGACTTTAATCAACGTTTTGAATTATACATATATTTAACATTTCTGTGGAAAAATATGTCCAACTAAAGTCATCATTTCGTGAGTTGGAAATTGTTCTCTGCTCTCTACATTAATTAGTCAGTGTAATAATTTTCATGTTACAGAGCTACAAACGCTACACTATACCTGATGTGACTTAATTACTCCCTTGTTCCAGGGGGGAGGGGGGTTCAAGTAGCGTTTGTAACTCTGGTGCATTAAATGCAATCCAGGGATAATTCTGGGTCCTTCCTCTGTACTAATTGTGGTAGTAACTTTGACGCAGCAAATTTATTCCAGGGATAATTCCAGGCCACTCCTTGCTGGTTTTCATAATGACACAGGATATATGACTTACGAGTCATTTCGACTTAGTTTTTGGTGCAGGCATGGGTGATATTTTTCGCTCAATAAGGGGTCACTGGATGGGGTTCACTGAAGAGTGGAAGGCAGGCATAAGGGTCACTGCATGGGGGTTCACAGGAGGGTGAGAGGCAAGTGGAAGGGTTACTAGATGGAGGTTCATGAAAGGGTGGGAGAAGGGCAGGAGGAAGACTTGATGATGTGCAGAAGAGAAAGAAGCAAATAAAAGTGGATACTATTTTTAGCAAAAATTCTAACCCCCCCCCCCCCCCCACCCCAAAAAATAAGACCTCAACTTACTGCAGGTTATACAATGGAGTCAGAAACGGGAGAAAGAATGCGACACAACCAGAATTATCCTACTTTTCCTAGGTCGTGTGAGAGGCTCCAGCAGCTCTTGTATCTATTCCGTAGTTATTTTAACAACCCTGAATTAACCACGTAATTGGCTTGTTTACCGCTGCTACATTTTCTTCAGTCTCGCATAATTGTGTAATCCTTTTAATTGCGCATAATTGAACACACCGGTGATTTGTGGAGGTAACTTCTAGGAGGGGTTCAGAAAAAAAAAAAATTGTAGGAGCTGAAAAAAATAGAAGTGAAGACGCTGCTGGAGATGAGAATCGAAGGGAAATCCTGAAGGGGCTCAAGAGAAGAGAAGGAAAGACCCTGCAGGGGTTCAGAAAAGAAGGGAAAAGCCTGTTGGACCTCGGGAGACAAGAGAATAAATTTTACGGTCTAAGAAAAGAACCCAAGACCCTGCATGGGTACAGAAGAGGGGCAAGTGAATATCTTGTAGGAACTTGAAAAGAAAAATGTAATAAATACTCTGAAAGGGTTCAGAAAAAGGGACGGGAAGACCCTACATGGACTGTAAAGAAGGGAACGAAGGACATTTCATCCTGCCGAACAAACGTCATCTCTTAAATGGTCGATTACCATTCCTTCCTTCTATATCATATCCCTTACAGTGTGTTCTGATATTACAGAACATTGCTCTTATTGCTTTTGTAATTAGTCTTCATATATCCCCTGCTCTTATAGTGTGTTCTCATGTATCTGGTCTTACAGTCTGTTCTCATGTCTCTGGTCTTACAGTCTGTTCTCATGTCTCTGGTCTTACAGTCTGTTCTCATGTCTCTGGTCTTACAGTTTGTTCTCATGTCTCTGGTCTTACAGTTTGTTCTCATGTCTCTGGTCTTACAGTCTGTTCTCATGTCTTTGGTCTAACAGTCTGTTCTCATGTCTCTGGTCTTACAGTCTGTTCTCATGTCTCTGGTCTTACAGTCTGTTCTCATGTCTCTGGTCTTACAATCTGTTCTCATGTCTCTGGTCTTACAGTCTGTTCTCATGTCTCTGGTCTTACAGTCTGTTCTCATGTCTCTGGTCTTACAATCTGTTCTCATGTCTCTGGTCTTACAGTCTGTTCTCATGTCTCTGGTCTTACAGTCTGTTCTCATGTCTCTGGTCTTACAGTCTGTTCTCATGTCTCTGGTCTTACAGTTTGTTCTCGTGTCTTTGCTCTTACAGAGTGTTCCCACATCCTTCCTCTTACAGTCTCTTTTTATACTTCTTCATGCAGTTGCCTCCTCATAATGAGGAGTTTAACAAGGAATTGAATTTAGCTTGCTTTTTCTTCCTAATAAGTTATCTTCTGCTTATTTTAATTGAGAAATAAACATGTGTTAGAAAATCATATCCTAAAAATAAATAAACTGTAAACTCAGCTTTTCTAAATGAGATACAAACAGCTATTTGCCGTTTTGCTTTGAAACACGAGTTTTCTGTTTTTTTTCGCTCAGTTCTGTGAATCGTGTAAAAAATATTGATGTAATTTCTTCAAATTCAGAGAACATAGTTAACGATATAATTAACGATTTGTAAGGACAATTAGAAATAAATCACCATGTACAGTAGATTTAACTAAGCATTAGTTCAAATGGGTGAAAGTCCTGAAATTAGCCATCAGGGTTGTTGAAGGAAATGAAATAACTGAAGGGTATATACCATAGTCTTTAGGTCATTCATGAAGTCGAAGAAGAATTTGAACCAACGTATGGTGGATTAAGAACGAATATATATATATATATATATATATATATATATATATATATATATATATATATATATATATATATATGTCGTACCTAGTAGCCAGAACGCACTTCTCAGCCTACTATGCAAGGCCCGATTTGCCTAATAAGCCAAGTTTTCCTGAATTAATATATTTTCTCTAATTTTTTTCTTATGAAATGATAAAGCTACCCATTTCATTATGTATGAGGTCAATTTTTTTTTATTGGAGTTAAAATTAACGTAGATATATGACCGAACCTAACCAACCCTACCTAACCTAACCTAACCTATCTTTATAGGTTAGGTTAGGTTAGGTAGCTGAAAAAGTTAGGTTAGGTTAGGTTAGGTAGGTTAGGTAGTCGAAAAACAATTAATTCATGAAAACTTGGCTTATTAGGTAAATCGGGCCTTGCATAGTAGGCATAGAAGTGAGTTCTGGCTACTAGGTACGACATATATATATATATATATATATATATATATATATATATATATATATATATATATATATATATATATATATATATATATATATATATATATATGTGTGTGTGTGTGTGTGTGTGTGAGTGTGTGTGTGTGTGTATTTACTGTTTGTATTTACTATTTGTAATAAATATTTGTGTCCGCAGAATATCGCTATTAGCTCTTGGACAACGCCTTTGTAACCAATTTATTTTTCCTGTCTTATGTCTACTACATATATATCTTTTACACACGCATACCGACACACACACACACACACACACACACTCACACACACACACACACACATATCCCCAGGGAGCAGCACATAGCAGCAGTCTAACTCACATGTACCTATTTGCTGCTAGGTGAACAAGTGCATCAGGGTGAAAGAAAAATTTATTTCTGCCTCTGCCGGGGATCAAGCCCAGGCGTTTAGAACTACGACCCTAGATTGCTGT